TCGGTCGAATCTATCGCTTATAAGAGTAAAGTAATAGATTAGATAAAATAAATAAGTAGTTAGAGGCTCGGGCTTATAACTATTAGGAATAGGAGGTAGGTTTTCTTTAGAAGTAGTGTTTCCCGATAGAAAGGGTCTTCGGTAGAAAATAGGTAGAAAGGTCTAATATATATATATAATAAAGAGGTATATAAATGATAGGATTAAAGAGAGACGGTTCATAAGAAGGTACGTAGTTAGCTTAATTAATAAAGAAGAAGGGTTATGTTAAGTATGCTCGAGAGTAGTTCTTATATTATAAAGAGATATCAAACTTAATTTAATTTAGTTAGAAAATATAGTGATACTTATATCGCGGGGTACACGGCAGAATAATAAATAAAATAGAAGGAACATCCTTAGAGTGTTAAGTAGTCTCCTACCTAGGTAGGATATTATATATAAGTATATACAATTATATATAAGATCGTTAAGGATTAATCTAATCGATCTCGTCGTCCGACGAGGAGGTTAAGTCATCTAATGAGGGGTAAGAAAAGTGGGTCCTTAGTCGTATCTCGACCGTATAAAGGGAAAGCCCCGTATTTACCATTTAGATATATTTTAATTCAGCATACATCTACTATACATACTAACAGTATCTTATAGAACGTGCTGGAAGTACGCGCTAAGTAAGTTAATCACTAAGTATTACTACCGAGTGAATCCCCTACTTATAGGTTAGGTTATCTTAAGGTAAACTATAAAGTGTAAAGTACTAAAGATAGTATAGTTAACTCCCGCTTATAGCACGCCCGGATTTAGTATATATCGGGTTATAGCACACATTCTTCGTGGACGGACCCACTTTTCCCCCTTTTCCTATATATATAGACCACTTATAGCATACTTAGTTATAGCATATAGTTTTTCTCTCCTATATCTACTTAGTTATATAGCTTAACCAATCACGATAGAAAATTTAGTCGCCCTTTCGGCCAAGATACCTACTATAAGGCGAGGTAGGAAGGGTATATCTAACGCTTAGAAATAGGCTCTACGCGTCTACGCATCCGAAACACACCCTACACCTTCTTAGCGAGCCTACGTTAAGTGGTTTCGGTCCTAGTTTGGTCGCCTAATTAATCGGGCTACTATCTCAAAGATCCTTTTATCTAAATACTAGCATCTTAATACTAGCCTAGCTAGTCTAAATATACGCTTATCGACATCGTATTAGCCTATATTAGACTAAGCTCTCTTTAAATAGTAGTAAAGACACTAGGATGCCGGCTTTCCTATAATAGGCCCGTTACTTCGGCTTAAAGCTATCGAGTATTAGAAGAAAATACCCGAATATACTAAAAGCCTAGTGCCCCTTTTCTCTAATAGGTAGCTTACTCGGTTTAAGTAACGTTATTCCCTCCGTTATTATACCTTCTACGGTAAATCTATATCGGCCCCGACCTCGATACACGACGAGAAAAAACCTATTTAGGCGATCTACGATTAATATTAACCGGAGGATATATACAATATAGATGAAACTAGGCTTTACTAGCGCCGTATACTAAACGGTAGCCTATTAACAGATAGTTATACTAGTTAAAAGAGAGATAAGGCCCGGGTCACTATAGTAGTTTCGACGAATACTACTAGTTCGGACCGAATACCTCTATAGCTAATTAGTATAGTAAAGACACTATACGCTCTTTAGGGGGTAAATATCCGAGTAATTAGATATATCTAGCGCTAGAATAAGAAAGTATAGATACGTAGTAGTATTATAGGAGAATAGCTTCGCGCGTTTTATAAGTATATTAGTAAGCAACGACGCGTTTTACTATTACTAGATAATTTCAGCGCGTATCTATACGCGCTTAAATCTACGCCGCCCCCGTCTAATATTAAGGTGTTATTTTTCCCGGTAAATACGACGTTAGTTTATCAGCCACTAGATTAAGGAATCATCTAGAATCTAAAGCACTATTATCGGAGGAAATAAATAATATAGATAATTAATATCCTTAACCGGAACCTTAATCCGAACAAGAAAATAAGCCTTAATTATACCCTCCGCTAGCTTACCTAGGCCTAGCGAAATAACGTTCTTAATTAGACTATATAGAACTACTTTATTAAGAGCACTATCGTTAGTCGCAGCACTAATTAGACGCAAAGTATACCAATACTAGAGCCGCTTAAATTAATACCTTTATACCAGAGCTTAATTAACCGGTTTCCTACGGATATAGATAGCGACACACCTACAGTTGTCATTAGATAACTTCCTAAATCCATCAGACGAGAATGACTTCGGTAAGCCTGATTTATCTAATATAATCGCCGACTTATCTAGTGAGGGTAGTAATAACGGTGACCAGGATAACGAATATATATCCGGACCTCTAGTAGAGCTTCCATCTAGTGCCGAGGCTATTAATAGCATTCAAAAAGCGCTTCTATAGGCTCAGCACTAAGAGGGCACTACTAAGGAGAATATACGTCAGATAGAGGGGTTAGAACGTCTATTCAACAGGCTATAGGTAGATAGTAGGAGACAGAGGACATTAGATAACTTCCTAATTAGGAATTAATGTATGTCGATTAATATATCTAAATTAGTCATCCGATCACAATAAGCACAATTCACTTATGGCACGCAAATTCTGTTAGATGGTGGGGTGTGCCATAAGCGGGAGTTGACTATAACTAAGTAATAATATATAAAGTACTAAAGGTAGTAACTAAGTAATAATGTATAATTAATCGCGAAGAACTAAATATATGATGCGAAATGAGTGTCCTTATATATCTAGTCCTTCCGATCCTAGGCTTTGATAGATCATAGCCCTTGCTATACCCGGGTCAAACCTTTAAGTATGATCCGGCCGTATGACGTTACCTACTTATTATATCCTTAGGTATGATGGGTCACGTGATTATTAGGCTCCCTTATAACGTAGTAGTTATGCCTTATAACGTTATCTAATCCTGATCCTTACTAATTAATCTAAGTTGATTGGCTATTAGTGTTCCTTCCCCCTATATTAGCGTTATTACGTGAGGGATTCGTAATAACTAGGTCCCCTAGATCACCGCTATTAAAGACTATATACTAGCTAATAGTATATAGAAATACGTTAATTCCGACCTTACTATACCTACGGCTACGCTATAGGAACCTATTGAGCCACTTCTATCTAATACTATTAAGAAACCTTCTAATATATTTATATTAGAAGAACTAAACTTATTAACCTTACTTCCGACTAATTAGCTATCTATAAGATACTACTAAGCGAGTACGAGTTATTAAGATTAGACTATCTTCGCTACCTTCGAGCTATCGAGTCTCTTAAATAAGGTATTCGGTCCTCTCTCACGCTAGAAGGAAGATAGATTATTAATAGGCTATCTACGTATAAAGCTATTAATAAGCTAAAAGTAACCTTTACCCTATCTAACCAATCGGAAGAATCGTTAAATCCTACGTAATTAGGATACGATAAAACGGTAAAATCTTCTAACTAAATGCTTTTAACTATCTATATAGGGTTAAAAGTGGATAATCATCTAATTAGAAGGCGAGAAAGTAGGAATTACCTACTTCTAAGACCCTCTTTCGTTAGTATACAATTTCCTAGAGGTAATTTAGCCTAGCGACTAGGGTTTAAAATAACCTACCCTAATAGAACTAGTTAACTAGTTCGTTAACTAACACCGACCGGCTATCTCGTCTAGTAAGCGCCTACTAGCCTATCCTATATTCTAAGGATATTAACTAGACGAGGGATTGGACGAAGAACTAACTATACCGGAACCTTCGAATACACTAAACTAGCCTAACCGAAATAGGAAGTGCCCTTATAGAGGTACTCCTAACGATAGTAACCACGATTTTAAGAAGTACCGATGATATAAGATTATAGTAATAGGTTCGCTATATTCCTTTAACCTTATAAAGCGCTACGGTACCGATATAGTATATAATTACCGGACCGCTACTTTAATTACCGAAATTAAGAAAGCCTATCTAAATATTACGAAAGCTCTCGACTATTTTTCTAAGGGTAATTTAGCCTCCTTCTATACCGATATATTACGGGAGGGTAAAGTAGTCACCCTTCTCGACTAAGGAAAACTAAAGAAAGCAGACGTGACTTACACTTTCCTTGTAATCCACACTATATTTAGCCGTAAGTTCTAATTAATAGTACCCCTTAGCCCTATATTCCCGGTAATACCGAAAGATCGCGAGGTTATTAGTAACTTTTATAGTAAGTTATCAACTTTATACCTTAAAGTTGTTAGACCTCCACCCATCACAACCATCAAGGGCGGTTTCAAAGAAGTTTTTGAAGGACTAGAGACACTTCGTAGGGCGACGGTCGGGGCACAAAACTTATTATCGAATTTCTGTGATTAAAGGGACACGTCTTAATAATTTTGGGCTACGACTCCTGTTATATCGCTGAAACAGTTATTCGGTGCAATAGATTATTTTCACATTGTAGCCGTGTGGAACAAACTTGTAAATGTACAGCAGTCGACCCCCTGTTCTGGATTATACAGACAAGGTTCACTGCTTGGGCCTACAATTAGCTTTATCCCTGACTTGGCTAGTGTACCTGTTGAGAACGTTGCTGGATCAGGGCTCATCTGGATGATCTCAACTGAATCCACGGCCCTTGAGTGCATTATCAGATGGCAACTGATCACCAAGTCGCCAGAACGTTGCTACGACTCAAGTACCTGTTTTTTGGTCTAGTCGGCTGACGTATCCCCGGTCGAACGCAGAAGTTACATATTTTATCATACATCATCAGCCAGACACCCTTCACTCCAAAGTCAAACCCAACTTTACGTTTGAATATGTGTCCGGCTCTCAACCTTAGCTATGTTCATATTCCTCGCTCGGGCTACCTCACTGGGTACATCTTGAATATCTCACTTATCGCTTCTTGACATAACTCTGCTGTCTGCCTTCTTTCACTCGCACTCAGCGTTGGGACACAAAATCAATGAGTGACTTCGACATGCTCAGCATCAACGATCTTGCCATGAAAGCGATTGACGCCATCTTCACTTTGTTCTGCAGGTTCCCCATCAAAGATAAGCGTAATTTCTTCAAGGGAGTATCCCTTGGTCTCAGGGTAGATGAAGTACACCACAATGAATTCAATAGCCACCCAGGGGATGAAGATGGTGTAAAACTTCCATCCCATGTTTTCAAGTCCAACGGGGAAGGCATATGTGGCGAGCAGCGTGAAACACGTAGAAAAGAATTGAAAGCAAGCCTGGCCCCTCATACGAAGATGGAACGGGTGAGTTTCTGCAATATATAGCCCCAAATTACCGTTGATGCCAAAGTTGTAGGCAGGCGAGAACAAGTAGAGGAAAGCGACCACAGCACCACCAGCAGCTTTATTTGAGGAATCCTGAGCGAACACAGCAGAGCCTGTGGTGATACCGATCAAGCAACAGAAGATGGCAACTCCTGACCCGAGGAATAGAACTCGACGCCCAAGTTTATTCGGTAGTGTCGCGAAGTACAGCGCGGAAATCCAGGAGAGCATCTGCTGTGTTGCATTGATCAGGGTCTGTTCGAGGCTTGACGTCAAGCCAACGGTTGTCAAAACAGGAGAGAGATAGTATGAGATGAATGCATTTCCCGACATCTAAAAGAGCTCGTTCGGTATGAGTTAGCTTCAAGATACAGCAAAAGGAGTCAGAGAAATATTGCAAAAATTACCTGGGCAAAGCAAGCACTCCACAGGAGGATGAAGAGTCGCTTTCGATTTCCTGGGGTCCGAGTGAATTCCAGATAACTCTGGATCCAGTTCTTTTTGCCAATGCTACGTTCGTACGCAAGGGCTTCCTCGATTTCATTGTATTCGAATCGAACGAGCGCATCGTCGGCATCACCCTCGGCATGGTATTTTGCCAAGAGCTGAAGAGCTTCTTCCCCTCGGTCCTGTGATACAAGCCAACGAGGGCTCTCGGGAACCATCCATAGACCAAGAAGCTGGAGAAGAGATGGGAGGCCTTGGATGGCAGACGGGATGCGCCATGCGGCACTGCCATCGATACGGAATGTGCCGAAAGTGGCCCATGCTGCGAATATCGCACCTAGGGCATAGGTAGTATTGAACATGGCAGTTGCGGTAGCTCGATGCGCTGGGTGAGCAATCTCTGTGATCAATGGAGCGCCCGATGAGCCCAGGAAGACCGTCCCAAATCCTAGAATGCCGCGTGCAACGACGAACATGGGGAGGTTTTGAGCACCGCTCTGCAGTGCAGCGCCCACGCAGCAGACAGTTGCGCCGACGGCGAGGCCAGCACGCCGGCCGAAACCGTCGCAGACAAACGATATCAGAGGGATTGCAAGTAGTCCACCAATAGGGTAGGCTGCATTGAAAAGACCAAGAGTAGCTCCTTTGGGCTCACCAAAATAGCTGCGCCAAGCTTTCACAGATTGGAGGCCATTCATCATTGATCCATCAAACCTGTCAGTAGAAAGTTGTCAGTTACTTGTCGAGTGCCAGACGATTGAATACAATGGATGCACAGAATGACTAATATGTAGCCACCGAGGCTTGTGATTTCGGGGTGATCTCAGGCCTACCCTTGAGTGAAAAGGCACAGCAACGGGATAATCAACGTGAGGTTCAGGGTGCGTAAATGCTTGTGCCTCCACCAATGTACCACATCCACCCCGCTCTCCGGCATCGTCATAGTCTGGAGATTGCTGACTTGGAGGGCCATTATCTGCGGCGTTTAGGAATCGAAGTGGGAGGAAGGATTTCACAGAAGGCTTTCTTCTCCAGATACGGGGTTTTCTTTCGTGGCGCCCAGCGCGGAGCTTAGCTTCAAAGCAAGCGTCTTGTGGAAGCTGTAGAGCTGCCCTGTCGTTTGATCAAGATCGCTGGAGAAAGAGAATGGGAACGCTTTATATAACTTTGCTTCCCCACGTTCCCCGTGGAGGTCAAGTATGTGTGGGGATCAAGAGAGACCCCTTCGGTGTTGAGTATTTCCCATTGGCGTTTTGAGATCCCAGGGATTGGATATGAAATGCGTGGAGAAGACAGTCTGGGGTCACCATCTGGTCAACGAGACTTGGGGCAGAAAATTTCCGTGTCTTCACCACGTACTCTTCGGGACGGAGTCTGGTGGCGTATAGACCTGCCAGAAACCCGTGGGTCTCAGATCAAATGGGACTTGGAAGCCAATCCTACGATTGGCCACTAGCGCGCCAGATCCTGTCGTGTGGCTCAGTGCGGTGAGCTCGGAGTAATGGTGACCGAGCCCAAGGACCACCGCGGAATCCCGGGATCCTTCCTGGCAGATCTTGGACGCATGATTGCAGATTTCAAAAATACCCGCCTTACGGTATGAGTGGCGGGCCAAGCCCGCGGAATACCGGAAGAAGCTGCGAACCTGTGACCTGGTGGGAGACAAAAGGCGGTCGGCGCAAATTGTATTGAAAACATTGGGCGAGATTTGCAATAATTAACCAGCAAACATTAGCACCCACTAACTACTGCACTACTGTACTTCCTGATGGTATTAAATCTTGCGGGCGTGCCTTAGGTAGAACAGCGTCGCAAATGCACTACTGTTGCGGCAGGTCTTTATTAAAGAAACCTGCTGATAAAGAGTGTGGCAAACGTTGTTCGCTCGCCATCGTCTCGAATGGTTCCACGACAAGTGAACTAGTGTATGTATAGTCAGAGGTGCTCTGAGATCTGTTCTCGTCTCTATACCAGTCTTTCTCTAGCATCTGGTCAAGACCCAGGGTTCGGGTCTGTCGTCTGAGCTTTGTTGCTGAGTGAAGTTATTTCAAGTCACCGCTCAAGAAAGACACACAATTCACTACAATGGCCCTGTGGATATGGCATCCAGAGTGGGCAGAGACATCGATTGAAACTGCAGGGGCTCTGGTCCATTTCCGGAAGACGGTTTCTATCTCGTCTGTCCCTTCTCAACCGGTGTATATCCAGATCACCGCCGACACCAAGTACAAACTCTACATTAACTCAGAACTACTGGTCATCGGCCCTGTGAAAGGAGATCAGCATATGTGGTTCTACGATGAAGTGGATATCCAACCTTTTTTGAAAGCGGGCGACAACGACATCAATGTTCAGGTACTGAGGCTGTACCACGCCACATCGCATGGAGCGAGTTTTCCGCGTCTTCCCCAACCTGGGTTACTGATTCGCCAAGCTCGTTTGTCCGAAGATGTCGGCTTCGACATACAGAGCGATAAGTCCTGGGAGACTGTCATCGACCTTTCAACGCGTTTACCGACAAATATGCCAGAGGACCAATTCCTGCAAATCTACGAGCAAGTGGACAACAGCCTAGCGATCGAGGAACCAGCATGGTTGGCAGCTAAGGAGCTTGACTTTCCAACTTCTCACGGCATATCGGCTCCCTGGAAACTGTCACCGCGTCTCATTCCGTATCCTCGATACCAGGCAGTGCCTTTCAAGGCAATTCACAACATAGAAAGCACAGTCCCTCGCGCGGAATGGGAGAAGGCCTTACTTGCACCCCACGATGGAGGCTGTCATTCGACAATTCTTCTTCCAGCTGGCAGTCGGCACCATGTAGAGCTGGAGGCCGAGAGTCACATAACGGCCTACCTCCAATTTCGGTTCCAACGGCCATTCCGCTTCGGAAGCAGCCTGAAAGTGACTTACTCCGAGTCGTACGAAGATATGCCCGAAGTTATTCCTTGGATTCGGCGCAAAGGTAACCGGCTTGACACTGCAAAGAGTATCAGAGGGCCTGAGGACCAGTTTTTCTTTGGCGGTACCGATGCAACTCACTTGAGGAGCAACCCTCGATACCATCAGAATTGTGAGGATCAAGAGATTTTCTCACCTTTCCATTTTCGCACATTTCGATTTCTGGCCGTGGACATCGAAGTGACACATCAATCAGATCTTGTCATGGATCGCATTGACTTGACAACAACAAACTACCCTCTGGAAGTCATCGCAGATGTAAATGTCTCCCCCGCAGGAGGCTTGTACCGGGAGCTGTGGAGTACGAGTCTCCGGACCCTTAAAAACTGCATGCACGACTGCTATGAGGACTGCCCTTTCTATGAACAGCTTCAATATGTGATGGACGCCCGAAGCTCAGCACTGTTCACGTACTGTGTGTCTGGTGACGATCGCCTAGCACGCCAGGCGATTCTGCAAATATACAACACCTTCCAACCCAGGATAGGACTAACTGCTAGCCGCGCACCAGCACATCAACTGCAAATCATTCCGCATTTCTCTTTGTTTTGGATCGCCATGGTGACCGACCATTTCGAATATTTCAAGGATACCGAATTCACTCGTCAATTTATACCAGTATGCGATGGCGTTCTGGAATCGTTTGCCCGCCGTATAGATCCCCAGGTGGGCCTGGTCCGTACCTCGCAGAATTCAGATCACTGGGACTTTGTCGACTGGGCGGAATCATGGAAGCCGATGGGGATTCCTCCAGCTGCTGAAAGAAGCGGCTTTCAAGCATTCACGAACATGTTGTATGTTTACAGTTTGAGGCGCATCTCTGTCGTCTTGATCGCGATCGGAAGACTAGGGCTTGCAGAAGAATACGAAATACGGGCAAAATCAGTCATTAAGGCCCTGAAAACGTATTGTTTCGATGGACGATTCTTCACTGATGGCTTGTCGGATTCGTGCAATAGACAGAATGACTACAGCCAGACCAGTCAAGCCTGGGCGGTGCTTTGCGGTGCTGCGACCGATGACTTGGCCGTGGACATTATGGTCGAAAGCACTGCTGCGACCGCCGGGGAGAGATCATCACAAAACTTCACGCCGGCGTCAACTGCAATGTCATTCTACGTGCTCCGTGCTCTTTCTATGGCTGGTGGCGGAATCTATGAAAAGCGCTTCCACAGCATCTGGGAGCCATGGAAGACACAACTCAAGCAGAACCTCACAACATGGGTGGAGGATGATGTCTCGAATCGGTCGGACTGTCATGCTTGGGGAAGTTCGCCTCTTTTTGAGATGGTGGCCGAAGTGGCTGGGGTCCGCATGAGTGCGCCGGGATGGGAAGTTATAGACTTTCAGCCCCGTCTCAGCTTGTTCTCTGAACTCAACGCCACCATTCCATTTGTACGGAATGGAGCACCAGGCCTGGCACGTGTGCAGTGGCAATACCAAGGGGACAACTTTGGAGTCTCAATCTCACTGAAGCTGGATTCGGCGGAAACGTCGACACCAGCCGTGCGCCTAATCTCTCCAGACGGGCACGTCGAGATTATCGATTCCGCCTCCAAACCAATTCATCGTACGATCAAAAGCTCTTTGATGAGGGAGCCGTTCCCTAGGCCCCTATCATCGTAAATGGATATGTTTTTATTTTCTGATATTCCGCGTTCATTGTTTGGTTTGTCGTGTTTTTCAAAGAATCTTCAACCGAAGTCTACTTTTAGCGTCTCTCTGCGTATGAAATGAACACATTAGGGTTGGGACCTAGCCGCCATCCTTTAGATCGATGTGAGGGAAAGTTGGAGAAAAAGTGAATTATCATTCGAATAATTTAGTACATGACACCGAGGATAGGATTACAATCCTGATATGCTTGTCTCACTCACAATCTCCTTCATCAGTCTTGATAGAACATCCAGTGGGTTCGCAACGTCTTTCGTCTCATCCTTCCAATGCTGCAACATCAGCGTAACCTTCTCTACAGCTGCTTCCCACTCAGCGGGAAGCAACGTCGTGAGACCATGGCGTGCTGCGGCAGTCAGGATTAAAGCGCTGCGGGTGCAGGAACGCAACATCAGCCATGTGCCATGATGGCGATAATAGAATCCAGCCTCGTTCGTCTCGATCCGACGCAGACAAACACGGAATCCTTTACGTGCAAACTCTTCCGAGTCCTCGCCGGGGACAAGGTTTCCGTGAAGAGCATCCACAACAAATGGCCAGTACATCATCTCATAGCAGTCAAGAAGATGGCCATTCAAAATGAAGCTCAAAGCAGAGTTACGATTATCTCCATCGGTTACATCATGGGATGCGGTGTCAAGATTGAGCGACCTAGGAAGAGATTCAAGCCTAAAAGCGGCCATTAGCATGCGTAAAGATGGGGAGCAAATGATAAGAGGTGCTGTTGGTTCTCACAATCCCGTTGCTTGTGCTTCAAATCCCGTTATTGTCTCTGTCGAGACAGGGGATTTGAGCGGTTCGAGGCGGTAAATATAATTTAAGATGCGATTTTCCAGGCGCCGTAAGGCAATATCAGCAAGATAAAAGTACCATTCGACATGCCCTTGGGCTGCAAGAGTTCTGGGTGGGGAAGGAAATAGAGCTGGATATGTCAAATCCAAGGCATTATCCTTGGCCACGTTCAATTCTAATCGCAGCTCGCTAGGGTATAAAAGTAAGCACACGGTGAACACTCTCACCCGATTGTGAAAACTGACAGTTCCGATTTGAAACAGGTCCAGTAAATGGATTCCTTCAAACTTGACTTTTCTTCGGCTTGGGCCAAATGTGTGCCCCAAGAGCTAAAAAGTCCCTCAGAACACGCCATTGCTTGCACGAAAACCCTCCAGGCTTCCAAAGGTCGGAGCGTCATCATTAAGTAAACTCCGCTGAAAAAGAGACACTGCGCTTCAATCACACCACTACTGCAAAGCAGCGGACCCATCCGCTTCTGAGCAGCGAGGAAGTATGCCTCCGCTGTTAGAAACGCTTCAGATCGACGAAATTCTGAGGATGAACTTGCAAGAACGACCTTTGGAAAAGGGCCCGAGATAGTCGCCAAAGCATATATCAGGAGCTACAGAGGTAAGTGATTGTCGCGTCGCAGAACAAGTGTATGATCAGCCTGGATATGACTCACTAACAAACATGATTTGGCATCCCAGGCTAAGCCGTTGAAAGCCAAATTTCTGGCATAGCCCTGGACCTTCTCTACTTCGAGAATGGGGTTGTAAATGTGGACATACCTGAAGAACCGTTGAAGTAGTTCCATGGACTCCTTCGAGTCGAAATCGGGCGATATCGACAATGGCTGCGGCTCAGGGGAGGTAGTAGTCTCGGAAGTCCAAGTGCGACTTGGACCATGGCTTTGGAAGACTGGCCATTTGAGAATATTTTCGATGTTGATTTGATAGGGTACTGAAGATCCAATTCGTTCCAACGCTGGCGAGCCAAGAAGATCCAAATTGTAAGCGGTCTCTGATGACGACCCTTCGAAGGCAGGCGATCGTGTCTCCAGCAATACGGGATTCGTGGTGCGAACCAGGTTCTCCAGTACTTCTAATCGCTGTAGGATGGCAATGCTAGCCGGATCAAACCTACAGAAATTGCTTAGTCATGAATTCTTGAACTCGCCGAGTTAGTTAACCAGTAACCCAGAGTGGGTCGCTCTGGCTCTACAGCCGAGAGTCCCCAGGGTCTTGTTGGAGGTGGGAGAGATGTACGTAGACCTGTCATATTCACGATAGTGGCATTCTATCCCCAGTGCCACACAAGAGCCACATGCAGGTTGCTCATTATCACACTTGATCCGCTTTTGGCGGCAGGTTTGACAAGCCTGTACAGCCCGTTTTCGGGGATACGTGGACCTCTCGCTTGGGCCTGATTCCGCTCGTTTTCGTGGGGGCATTTTTTGCGCAATGTTTCAATTTTTACCCAGTGGCAATCGTCCATCTCATCACAGCCAGGTCGTGGGGCGCGTTAGAGTACGAAACAGGATGTGGGAAATACTTAAGGCCCCGCGGAGTCTCGGATGAGAGCAGGTCCATGTCCTTGGCGATTGGTGCCCACATATCAGTGGGTCCTATTCCAGTGGCGTCGAATCACACCTACGCTTTGCATCAACCGTGATGGTCTTCACAACGCTATCCCAAAGTATCAGACGTCCACCTGTAAGTCGAGCACTGGATCGTGTTGACTATTCGCAATCCCCATTATGATGAGTGTTGTCGGGGCGAAATCCCCCGAAAGGCGAGTTTGTTTCCAGGCACCGTGTCTGGGATCCGCCTGGTGGGCCCAAGTCCGACGCCCTCATGAACATAATCTGGACGCCGGCCATTCATATTTATAAGGCGCTACCTTTATCTCGTCGGTTATTGTGATTCCTAGCTCGACAGCCCCTTCACTGGTTTTCAGTCATCATCAAGTCAAGCTGCTTCACACATTGCACTCCTTCTCTTCATCCTCAGCATGGCAACGGAATCTGACAATGCCAGAAGTGTTATCCATCGAGACTTTAGCGTGGATGATGTCTTATCGCAGCTCACTGTCGATGAGAAAATTGCTTTGATTTCCGGTAGCGACCCCTGGCACACATGCAGTGTGCCTCGCCTTGGGATTCCCCGCATTCGCCTGACAGATGGGCCAAATGGGGTGAGAGGGACCAAATTCTTCAATGGTGTCCCAGCTGCCTGTTTCCCTTGTGGTATGCGCCATTTTTTATTCCATACAGGGTCGTTTGCTGATTTCTACCAGGGACTGGGCTCGCTGCAACATGGGATATCGAACTAGTCCGAGAAGGGGGTGCTCTTCAAGGGACTGAGGCTATTGCCAAAGGCGCCTCGGTCATCCTGGGACCGACAACAAACATGCAACGTTCCCCACTGGGTGGCAGGGGCTTCGAATCGTTCAGTGAGGACCCTGTCTTGGCGGGGGCCATGAGTGCTGCGACGATCAATGGCATTCAGTCCACCGGTGTAGCTGCCACGCTGAAACACTTCGTGTGCAATGACCAGGAGCATGAACGGCAATCGGTTGATTCAATCGTGTCAGAGCGGGCGTTGCGGGAAATTTATCTCATGCCGTTCCAGATTGCAGAAAGAGATGCCAAGCCGTTGGCGTACATGACGGCTTACAATAAAGTCAACGGAGTTCATGCGAGTGAGAGTGCAAAGCTCATCAACGGGGTCTTACGGCAGGAATGGGGCTTCGATGGGCTAGTAATGTCTGATTGGTGCGTAACAGCTTGTGAACTTCAGCCATCTTAGGCACTAATTGACCGCCGATAGGTTTGGACTCTACTCGACAACGGACGCGATCCAAGCTGGCCTCGACTTGGAGATGCCTGGTCCTTCCTACATGCGTGGTGGACTGGTGAAGCAAGCACTTGGATGCGGCAAACTGTTGGAATTTGAGCTTGATCTCCGTGTTAAGGAGGTCCTGAAGCTTGTGAAAAGGGTTCTGCCACTTGGTATCCCAGAGAATGCTGAAGAATCAACCGTGGATACCGAGGCAACGGCTTCGCTTCTTCGTTCTCTAGCATCATCCAGTCTCGTGCTGCTGAAGAACGAGAGAGAAACTCTACCCTTTGAGAAGGAAAGGAAAACTCTGGTCATTGGTCCGAATGCAGACTTTGCGGCCTATTGTGGTGGCGGATCCGCATCCCTCAAACCATACTATGCTATTAGCCCTCTGGACGGATTCAGAGCTCAAGCATCCGACATCCAGTACACATTGGGGGCACCAGGCTGGAAGAAAATGCCGCTCCTGTCCCGTTTGACCAAAAGTAGCCGTGGCTTAGAAGGATTCGACATGAAAGTCTTCCTTGATTCCCCATCAGTCCCTAATCGGGAGGTCATCGACTCTCTGTACGTCAACACATCGGACATTTTCCTTGCGGACTATGAAAACCCTAAGATCAAGGGAAATCTCTTCTATCTGACTCTGGATGGTACTTTTACGCCCGAAGAGACCTCAGAGTATGAATTCAGCCTCTCTGTGTCAGGAACGGGCAAGCTCTTTGTAGACGGTCAATGTGTCATCGACAACGAAACCACTCAGACTCCTGGCGATAGCTTCTTTGGGTCTGGGACCATTGAGGAGATTGGCCGCATCAAGTTGGAGAAAGGGAAAACGTACCACATCCACATTGCCTTTGGCACACTGCCCACAAGAACCTTCAATGTGGTCGGAGCGACTGCTTTCGGTGCAGGTGGTCTGCGAGCCGGTGGAACTCGCAAAATTGATCCGGAGAGCGAACTTGAGAAAGCTGTTGTCATGGCCTCCCAGGTGGATCAGGTAATTTTGTGTGCCGGCCTGAACGGAGACTGGGAGAGTGAGGGTTATGATCGGAGTACTATGGGCTTACCCCCCGGTACTGACGAGCTGATTGATCGTGTTGTCGCAGCGAATCCCAACACAGTCGTTGTTATCCAGTCTGGTACCCCTGTCAGCATGCCCTGGGTTGACCGTGTACCGGCTTTGGTCCATGCTTGGTATGGTGGCAATGAGACAGGCAATGCGATTGCCGACGTTGTATTTGGCAAAGTGAGCCCAAGTGGCAAGCTACCATTGACCTTTCCACATCGGAATGAAGACAATCCGGCTTTCTTGAATTATCGGAGCGAGAGAGGACGCACAATCTATGGTGAGGGCGTCTATGTTGGCTATCGCTTCTATGAAAAGTGCAAACGAGAAGTGGCGTTTCCATTCGGCCATGGCTTGAGCTACACAAAATTCAAGCTGAGCTCATTTTCACTCCAAGAAACCGACGATACGCTCACAGTGACTCTTGATGTCCACAATTGTGGGAACGTTGATGGTGCTGAAGTTGTTCAGGTCTATGTTGCTCAAGAATTACCCAGCATTTGGAGACCTATCAAGGAGTTGAAGGGTTTCCGCAAGGTGTTTGTTCATTCAGGCAAGTCCGAGCGCGTCACAATTCCTATCTCGAGAAAGTACGCCACAAGCTTTTGGGATGAGCACAGACACGCGTGGGTGCAAGAGAAGGGGCAATACACCGTTCTTGTTGGTAATTCTAGCGCTTACAACCCCCTCTCTGCTACTTTCCACATTGGGCAAACCTCCTGGTGGACAGGACTGTGATTCTATTTGACGGGGGTCTTTTGGTGGCGACTGCGCTAGAAGCCTATGGCGCCTCTAACCATGTTACGGAATAAGCTGAGAGGCAGAAAGATGATCATTTTCCCCCGTAGTAACTGCATAAGATAGTTAACTAGTTAGTTAGCGTGGTTCCCGGCTGTCCCGATCAACCCATGTATAATCGCGTCTTCCTACATACATACTAGATTCGACCAACTACTATACCACCAATTCACTCTGAAGCATCGCAGAACTTAGCGCATCAAGAGGGAAAGATTATATTAGCCCTTGGTGATACTAAAAATGGCCGCGTCAAATCTCTTCGCGTAGCTAATAGGCTTTTGTTATGACATACTCTGGCATGAGGAATGGGCGAAACGACATACAGCAAGGTTCGCACCCGATAAGTTCGAACTTATTCACTTTACCAATCCGACGACAAATGGAACAACCCACGAACTGACTATTCTCACAATTAGGTCCGACATCTTCGACTACGCGACACAACACCCCGAGGGTAACGACTAGATGCCCGTCCGATATAACGATAATATCACTATATAGCTATTAGGAATAGCAAAATATCTAGGTGTGTGGCTTAATAAATACCTTAATTTTGATACCTACCGCTAGAGACTGCTTACGAAGGCTAATAGTAGCCTCGAAGCGCTTCGAGCGATGATAGGATCGGTATAGGGTGCCTTACTAGCGGCTATACGAAAGGTATACTAGGTAGTGGTAGTGCTATAGATACTCTATAGGGTATTAGCGTGGTACTACCCTACTATAAGGGCTATACTAGCTAGCGAGCTACGGCGTATTATTAACGAATTTACTAAGATCTAACGAAGGGCCGTAATCTTTATTAGCGGGGTATTTGAATTAACGAGTACGGTAGCACTTAACGTAGAGCTCTTTATTATACTAATATATCTTCTTATAGACTAAATTATTTAGGAAACGGTAATACGAATCTAAATAGGTACCACGTAGGCCTAACTAGAGTATCTACGTCGATAGTAACCACGATTACCCTAGGAGATTAGGAAAGGGAGTTAGAGCCCTCTTAAAGCCCTCCGATAGAAGAAAGACGGTATTGTAAGCTAGTAAGGGTATAAGATATAGATAGAAGAAGATCTATAGAATTCTATAGATTAAAAATTAGGTGGAATGATTCTAAAAGGAATCTAATAGAATCATATGATATCATAGACTGCTAGTCTACTATATTATATAGGTCTATATGATTCTATCGATCCTCTGTTAAAATAATTTCTAACGATCATCAAAAAATAATCTTGATCACCTCTCACCACTACTATCTACTACTATCTACTACTATCCACTAGTAGATCTTTATTATACTATATAGCTATACTATATAGCTATATCCGATGAGTATCTACCTATCTACCTTGCTTCCTATTCGCTTATCACCCTACTTGCTCATACTAGCTCTTCCTATATAGTATAGGCGGTAGATAATATAGTGATAGATAGTCTTAGCGCGATCTACCCGTATACCGTCCTACCCGTCTACTACTTAGGTATTACGTGGTTTACCGGGTTCTTATATTTAGGGTGTTATCTTAGTGCGGGTAAAAGAGCGGCTATTTCCTACGTCGCGTTAACCGTCCTATAGAGTAAGCGGGTATTAGTTATAACGGTTAGTCGTAGGCCGTTTCTAGCTCCTACCCTAAACCCTTTTACTTAGGGCCTTCTAGGGCCTACCTAAGTATACCGAAACGCACGTAACGACGCTAATCCTTAGCGTCCGTAGAATAATTAGCTTATGGTTACTACTTAAATAGCTACGGCCCCCGCGCCTCTTTAAGGTCCGTAACACTCTAATAGACGTTTAGCTTCTTCTTCTTCTTCTTCTTTTTCTTCTATTTTCTACTTCCTCTCGCGTTTATTCCTATATACTTCTTCTCTATACCGATAGAGAAAGTAGTAGGCTAATAAGGAGATTAGGAGATATAATATAGCTATATGCTATATACTATAGAAAGATAGGTAAATATAATCTATCCTCTAATATAATTAGTTAGGATTTATCTTTAGTAATTCTTAGAGCGCTAAGGTATCTCCGGAAAACTATTCTATAAGCGCGATTCGCACACTCTATATATACTATAGACTAGCTATCTTCGATTAGTAAAGATTTCTTCTAATTAAATAGGATATATCTCGACGACGCGATATATTATATCTACTATATATTTATTAGGGATAGCTTCTACGAGCTAAGGGGAATATCTCTATTAGAATTAAATATATCCTATTATGGTATTTCGATGAGACTATTCATACACTGATATTAGGGCCTCAGGCATACGTGGACTAAGGGTTCTGCTAAGGCGGTAGCCATCCGGCGGTTAGCCGGTGGCCCCTCGGCCGCGATACGCGACAGCCACGCTGTATGTAGGCCGCACCCATAGTATGTGCCATACGTTAGCCATACGGTAGCCTTTCGCTATAGTTTCCCCCTTACTTCGTGTTTAATTCCTATTTACATAAAAGATGATATATTTAAATAGATACTTAAGGAAGTAGGATTCATCTTCTTTAAGAAATAGTCTTTATCTTAATCTAACTTAGTGCTTTCCTCTCCTACCTAGTTAATAGGCCGTCTACCCTATAAAGTAGATACTTCCTTAATAATTCTATTTCTTCTTCTTTAACTACCTAGGAGAGATAGTACCTAGGACTCGCTCTACTCTCTCTACCGAAGAGGTACCGAATATCTCTCGAAACCTTAACGAGCTAGCCACTATTAAGGATAAAATACCTTATAACACTTAAACTACCCTATCGGACCTTAATAATAGCCTCGTAGTTATATAGGCTACTATCGAGAAGCTTTAATATTTAAAGGACTTATAGGATTAAATAGACCGCCTTAAATCTAAGGTTCTAGGTCGAAGCTATAACGATCTCCTACTAATTTCCTACCGGGACCCCTTCTAGTCGTTTAAGAAAGACTAAGAGATTAAGCTTAAAAACCTATCTATCTTTATACTAGACTATACTCTCTAGAAACGCTAGGAGTAGCTTCTCGACCTATAATAAACGTTCGAGGGTACTCTAAAGAAATACTATAATAATCGTACGAAGATCCTTAGAGCTATTAGCTATATAAATCTAATCTATCGGTAGAGATAGTACCGATATACTAAAGAAAAGGGACCGACTCTCTTACGAGACCCTAAGGAAGACTAGCTTTACTTTAGGGATTAGACCCTAACTCTTATTAAGAATACGGCTAGCCTTAAATCGGATATTATAGGATAGCTCGAGAGAATCTATTAAGGCTAGGATAAAGACCCTCGCGAATTCTATATACGCCTAGATACTCTAGAATAATACTTTCTACGATCGGTAGAGAAAGAGAGAGCCCTTACCTTCTTTATAAAGCTTACTTTCGGCCTTTAAAATACTATCTATCTCTATATACTTAAGCTACCCGAGATACGCGAAGAGATAATCGATATTACCTATTACTTCTAGGAACTAAATAAATCGGAGGCGGAACGTAAGCGAAAACGCGACGATAGGCCGTCGGATCCCTTATAAAAGAGAACCTTTAGGGATCCCTTATAAAAACCCTAATAAGATAGTCCTCCTCGCCTATAGAGAGGGGGTTATTAAGGCCGAGGATACCGAGGAAACGGTCGCTAAAGAGGTCGTTTCCCTAGCTATAATAACGGATTTACTCGCGAAATATTAGTAAGAGATAGCCGAATTACTTCTAATAAAGGATTAGATTATATTACCTATTATAGATATAGCGAGAAAGGATACTACGCTACCGATTACCTAAAAGGACCTTATAGGAAACTAGCTAAGGTATAGAACGCCTAGTAGGGAAACGGTACCGAGACGGAGTAGACCCTATATCTTTGTCTCTTCCTCTAGTAGGGACTTATACTCGCTTTTATATACTAATTACTATCCGAAATATTAGAAATAAGTTAGTTGGTTTCTTAGCTAAGAAAAGGTTCTTCTATAGAAGAAAGGTCTTATATATATATATAAAGAAAAGGCCTATAAACGATAAGATTAAAGAGAGATAGTTTATAAGAAGGCACGTAGTTAGCTTAATTAACAAAGAAGAAGAGTTATATTAAGTATACTTAAGAGTAGTTCTTATATTATAAAGAGATATTAAACTTAATTTAATTTCGTTAGAAAATATAGTGATACTTATATCGCGGGGTATACGGTAGAATAATAAATAAAATAGAAGGAATATCCTTAGAGTATTATATAGTCTCCTACCTAGGTAGGCGATTATATATGTGTATATAAGATCGTTAAGGATTAATCTAATAGATCTTATTATTTAATAACGAGGTTAAGTAATCTAATAAGGGGTAAGGAAAGTAGGGGCTTTAGTCGTATCTTAACCGTATAAAGGTATATACCTATATATATAATAACTATATATACTAATATACCCCCTTAGCTCTTAGTAAGTATCGAAGTAAAAGAAATAAAGATCGAAAGTAAGAGCTAATAAAAAGAATAGAAAGGGTAGGAGAATAGGCCTAATATAATAGGGATAGCTCTATACCTAACTATTTAATAAAGGTAATATACTTATTAGCTAGCAGACGTTTCGTTAAACCGTTAGCTAGTATATTAGTTATCTTTATCTATTTAATAAGTAGGCGTTTAGCCTAAACTTCTTATCGAATCTATAATTAGTTAATATCTATATAATAAAGTTTAGTCTAGAATACTAATTTCTTACACTTTAGTAGGTTAACGGTTTATTTATTATCGTAACTTAATATCTCGGTTTAGTCTATTTTAAATTAGATAAAGGAGAAAAGGCGCTTAATCTAGTATAGCTATTTAGCCGCGTAGCTAATAGCTAATAATTTAGCTTCTATAGTAGATATTATAATAGTCTTCTACTTACGAGATTTCTACTCGATTAGGCTACTAAATAGGTAGAAGATAAAGCCTTTAGAGCTCTTCCGATTATAGTTATCGGT